AAAGAGGTGGGCTGGGTGTCACTGTGTTTGATTTATTACATGAGCTACGTCTTAGCAAATTGAAAAGATAAGAGGCTCTTATTTTATATTCTACTTTGTCAATATTGGTAATTTGAGTTTCTAATTCACACAAAACTATGGACTTAGTATTTTGACTTCCCAAACATCTAATCTGAACCAATGCTGCATTCAACATACCACGTGACATACAAAAATCGATGTTTATCTGTTTTTTAATATTTGCTTTTAAATTAAGAATTTGAGTAATATATAATACTAAAATTTGAATTATAATCTACAGTTTGATACCAAAGTTATTGACATCAATTCATGAAATAGTAGTTCAATAAAACTTTGAATACGAGTCAACAAATGCGATGACATGGCCTTTCACCCATGACTGCTGAATAATAGTCTAACATTAAAAAAAACATTCAGTCTATGTTGAATTCACCATTCAGTTCATAATATTGGAGATAACTTTCACTGATGTTATGGAAGAACTACTTCATAGAATACTTCTCTACACAAAGTGTGTAATAAAAAAATTTTACTTAAATATCTTTAAAATTGTATGCTAGCACCCTCATAGTACTGTAAAAAATATCTTACCTTCAGATTTAAGCTTTGTTAGCACAAATATCAGATAGTTGTTGAAGTCTGGAAACTTGTTCAACTCCTCCAATTTCTATCAAGATGTTAAGATCAAATATGGTAATATAACAAAAAATAACCTACAAAACAATCTACAGCAATTAACTATAGTTACAGCTGGGTGATTAACTCAATTAATCAATAACCTATGGGCACTGATTAAACCAATTAATGTCATGAAAATAAACAACTAATTAAAGTTAGTTTTCAGTAAATTCAAACATAAAAGTAACCAAAATATTGACATTATAATATTAGATTAACTTGTGTTTGTTCAGCTTAATTATTATCACAACTAATCAAAATTACTATTACACTTATTACAACTATTCAAGTATCATGTGATTATCAATTAGATGAATTGTAATCAAGTAAAGAACCAAATTACACTAATCACCCAGCTCTAACCACAATGTAAGTATACCAATCACCAAAATATACAAGGCACAGACCCTTAAAATTCACTTTTAGTTGTGGCCAATTTCTGCATTAAAGTTAATACAAACTTACTAAATAGTACCAAGTTTTTGCTTGAAAAAATTAACATAGTTTAACTTAGTACTTATTATTTTTTTGGATTGTCAATTTTCCAAAATTTTGTTGTGCAACAATTTTAAAAAAATATTAAAAATACTTCCTTTTCCCTTAATTTCAACTTTATCATATTTTTTATCAGAATGTTCCATTTTATATATATAGTTAGTTAACTTAGTTGATACTGCAATAGTAGTGCTAACATTTTTTGGCCACGCTTTGAGAAACAGCCAAACATCCTGTCTATCATACTTACATTCAAATCCAAAACTACTATTTGTGTACACAAAATAAATGGAATCTTTCCATATTGCTGAGACAAACAATAACTCCATGACCCTTTAGCTTGAACCTGATAGCTGTCACAAGATCACCTCTGTATCATATATTAGTCAGGATCTATTCTGTCACATGTCCAATAATAAATCACACCAGCAATTGAATTGTAAGTTTTAGGGAATAAGAAGTCAATACACGTGGACTTTTGCCACTTTTGTTGCAATTCAACCAAGAGGGCATTGAATATATTGTTCTTTGATTTTAAGAAAGGTTAAATTCATCTTTAGAACTGCTTGAATGAATGTGAAAAGCACACGCACATTGACCATGTATATTTATCAGTGCTCTAAATCAACACAGACTAGAACTCATTCAAAGAGAAGAATAACAGAAAAAAATATATATATCTATTTAAAATTGACTTTTACCAAGTGTAATTTGTAGTGATTCCCCAAACTCTTTTAGTCTTAGGCTCCCTTGATGTGAATAAAAAAAACTTTGAGCCCCCCCCCAACATATAAAAATGCCTTAAAATGTCCCCCCCACAACTTTAGAAAGGTGATTGAAAAACAGTGCTGTAGTAAAAACAATAACATCTCCTTTTAACATATAGTATAATTTAATTAATTCAACATAATTTTTATTCGTGTATTGTATATTTAGAATTAAAATTATTTCAGAATCTTTGTTTTTGGCCCATTTTTGGCAGGCCCCCAGAAAAATCTTCATTGCCTCCCAGGGGGCTGTGGCTCCCACTTTTGGAAACACTGGCTTATAACACTGTTGTTTTCATGAAAATTACATCATTTTTTTAAACTGATTTTGAAAAATGTTATTTGTTAATAATCTGAAATAAAATTATCATGTTTAATTCATACAAGTTGTAGAACTAGCTTATATTAAAATATTTTTCTATTTTATAATCATAATTCAGATTTGAATAAAAAATACTAAGTGTTAACTTTTGGCCTGTATTAGTTGTAGAACTTGTTTTACAATTAATGTATAACAAAATTACAATAAATAACACTATCATCTTTAATTTTCATTATCAGTCACATATAATGAAAATCAATAAAATATGCAAAAGTTACAGTTTAATACTAATACAGTGAAAAATATCCTAAATGGTCATGCATTTTAAAGACCACAAAGTCCATGTCTCAACTCTCAAATTAAATTATGCACACTTAAAAGTCAAAACCTTTCTGTCTGCAGTAGTAAAGATTTTATGTCAAAGGTCTGTAGCTGAAGTGTTCAACATTGAACACTTCCATCAAAGAAACTGCTTTTGCTGTGATGCCATCCTGGTCTGGAAAAAATGAAGATGAACCCTTCTATATTATGGTCCATTTCCCATTTTTGGATATACCTATGACAGAAGTTTTTTTCCTGCCTAATTGATGTACGTTTGACCAGTATGCAAGTTTTTGTTTTAACACATCTGCCAATAATTCTTTTATGTGTATGTATTATTTCACAATAACAAAATTAATATTCTATAAATAAAAAGGAGTTATTGGAATATTTTGCCATTGCTTACTATACTCAATAAAACTATTCAAGCTTATGTGATGTGTTCTCATAAAATAAAACTTAACACAAAATTTTCAGAAATACAAAGAAAGTCTAATGTGACTATAAAAAAATTCCAAGATCTGTGGAATGGTCCTAAGTCTTCTAAACTTCCTAATAGATTCCTTTGTTCACCCAACAAGAGCTCCAGGTAGCTAATATCTCGAGAAACCATAAATCACAGATCAAACCACTTTATTTACTGTATAAATTGATAGATAAGTTAAAATTTGATCTTTACAATCACATTTAGCTGTTGGTTCAAGCTCCATCTCAAAGATGAGCTTCAATAGTAATTGTTCAGACCATATTCTGAGACATCATAAAAAGAAACAAAGGACTGTCGAAATAAAACCATTAACAGAGAAGGTCATATGAAAACCAAGACATGAATTATTATATTTTGAAGAGATAATAGCAACTATAAACAAATATTTCAAGACTGGTAGAAAAATTCTAAAAAAAAAAAATTGATAAAAAGATTGTTTACAAAGACTGCAAAGAAATGAAATGTTATAAAATGACTTAAATATCAATTCCAAAATATTTTTGACTTAAAAATTGTTGAAATAGAATTATCTTAAACTAAGTTTTTAAATTTGATATACACTTAAAAGTTGTGCTGCAATCTGGACAGGGTTAACCCTTCTACTACAAGTAGGTGGATTCCACCCAGCCCATAAAGCAGTGACACTGTAATTTGTTAAAATGTACAAGTATCTTCATGATATTTTGCAGATTATCAGTAAACATTACAAGGCAATCAAATATAAAGTATCGGGTTTTTTAATTAAGTTTTAACATTTTTAATTAATTATTTCCTTGTGCATTTTTTATTTTCTAATGTTGACTATCCAACATGCAAAGTAATTTTGATTTTAAAATTAAAAATACTTTTATGCATCAGAACATTGTCAAATTTCACATGCAAAATCTTTATAACCTCCACATAATTATCTACACATTTTTTTTAGAAAAAACTTTAAATTTTATCTGTTATTTTCACTGTTTTATCTCTGTACAGGTTTGGTCAATTTGACCGACCTCATAACCACCATAAAAAAATTAGTAAATATATATAAGTTATGCTTTTTCATTCTAGAATGACTACAAATTATAACACAAAACCACAAATGTTTAGTCTAAATAGCTTAAATCTCATATCATACATATGTATCTATACATGTTTATTTCTATTTTATTGACCTTTCAGCAGTGTCTGAGTAACATTACAAAAGTTGAATGACACAGCACACATGCTACTGTATCCAATAGTATAAAACTGGCCTTTGCAAAGTGACCTGTTTTGGTTATGTTCTAGTGGACCAGTATTTTGTAAAATACAGTTACATTTCAGTTATAATACATTATATATGTATATACAGTATTACTATTTATAACTAAGTTTGTAAATTCCAGTTATTTTTCTTAAAACAGTAAATAAAGAAGTATAGAAAACAATTATATCTTCTGGTTATGAACTTTGTACTTGTTTGCTTACTATAATTTGCTAAGCCTTACGAAATTTCCCACGTGGAGGCTGTTAAAAAACAACAACCTTTTTTAGGTTTTATATATGCACTTTGAAATAAAAAGTCATCAATTACTATATCAATATCACAAAATTCTACTATAATTCATCAGACTTATTAACTAAGCTGTATTTGGGTCTAAACAAATATGATTTTTTGAGCTCACTAATGTCTTACCTTACCACTCAGAATCTGCCCTGAAAAGAAAGGGTTTCCTGCTTAAATACATTAGAAAGGCTCAGAGAACCATGTGGAGGACATTTTTAGCTTTTGATTGGTTATTCCCACATCACTGAGCGAAGTAGGTATTTTCAAAAATGGAAGAGGTGGGCAGGGCCACCTTGATTGATTCACTAAAAATATTAATATCTCAGAAAAGAGAAAAGCTTGTCAATATTGATAATTTGATTTTCTTATTCATAAGAAACTATAGACTATATTTGGACATCACAAACATCTAATTTGCATTCAACATACCATGTGACACAAAAATTGGTATTTAGATTTTTTTAATATTTACTTTTAAATTAAGAAATTGACTAATGTATAATACTAAAATTTGAATGATAATCTACAATAAGACACAAAGCTTACTGACATACATTCATAAAATAACAGTTCAATAACATTTTGAGTGCAAGTCTACAAATGCGATGACATGGCCTTTGACCCGTGACCATAGGAAGACCCGTAGAGACAGGGTTACGAGATAATCAATAAAGTGTGGGTTTTAATTCTTATTTTCTCATGGGTGAATGTGCAAGGACAACCTTCAAGGACCAAATGGTCATTTTGTCCACATACATAAATTAGTCTATCACCTACCCTACTAGAGTGATTTTTAGTTATTCTTCTGTGTATGTGGCACCTCAAAAAAAAATTTTTCCTACATCTAAGTAAGTAAAGATCACAACCTTTCCATCATCCAAGTAATAAGCAACATTTCAAAACATTGAAGTTTAACATGTTAGTAATAGGGAGTCACAGATAATTATAGTTCCCAGCCAATTGTAGTTTTGAATATATAATGCACACATAAATAAAATTGGAAGATTGTACACCAAACAACAAATGGAAAACACCTACATTATTTGTGCACGCTGAACTGGCATGATATATTAAAAGGCAACTGTACTCCCACTAGTTGAAATCGGCTTTAAAAACTATCGTGATTATCTCTAAAGCCATCTTCCACCATTTGTCAGCAACCAACAAGCGAATGTTAAACCTGAAACTAGTGTCAGTTCGAATTGGCTTGACCAATAAAGGCCAGTAATACATCAAACGTTAGCTCTCTTCATGCTCTACTTTGGTCTGGTGGTTTCATTGAATCAAGAAGCATTTACTATTCAAAAACTCACATATAAAACTTTAAAACCATTTAAAATTCTATTTAGCCCTTGAATCAATTGAAACAAGGGTATACAATAAACTTGGTATTGCAGACAATATAATGAATCACTTGATACATAGCTGCATCTGCTCAATTCAAATTGAAAACATGTCAAAAAATGATGAATGGGGATTGTAAACAGTCCATTGGTTACCCAGGCAACATGTTGCTTTATGTCATATCATCAGTCATAAGCAGACTATATTGACCTGACAACAGTTTGCTCTACATCACAGCATTGGATGTGGCTAAAGCAAAAGACTGTGTGTAGCAATTATCGCTGATAAAAGTTGTATGAACAATGGCAGTTTTGTTTGTATGTTAAATGATATATATATATATATATATATATATGTTCAATAATTAGAAATCATATCTCTAACTTAGAGAGTTATGCGATCAATATCTGTACTAAATGGAAATGAAGTATCTCCCAAAACCAAATACAAGCTATAACTTTAATGCATTCCATGTGTATTTGTGAATAATTATACAAACAACTTGAGTGCAACAAGGACAACAGTTTTCAAAATAGTTTTTCACCTGTGCTTTATGAATTAATATGATTAACATCAATATACTATTATAAAATCGAAACGTCCATAACACATAATGAAAGCAATATTGAATAATAGATGAAATGTTGGAACATGGTGTTAGCAATATTGAATAACAGATGAAATGTTGGAACGTGGTGTTACCAAAATGCTCTGGCATTTCTATATATTAGAAGTTAATCTAACTGATTTTTACCAATAATTATTCAATAAATAGGCCACCTTTGCTACCAATATTCCTTAAATAATATCATAGTATATTTGCAGTTATTACTAATTTCATTCATAATTCATAGACAAATGCTTGTTTCCTTAGCTTTTGTATTACAATTATATCTTGAGATAACTAATATCTTGAACTTAACGAGACAATTCATTATTTTCATTATGACATGACATAGAAAGGGTGAGGTTTACTAATCGTACGTATCTGTCAATCACAGTCTTTCAAATTTTCCACCAATGTTATTATAAAATCTCTCCTTTACTTTCATAAGTACACAGGTTAGCTCATACTTCATTTCTAACATTAGGTTGTTAAAAATGTTCATTTCATTTATCCATATATGTATGAGTTTGCCACTGATCAATTTTCTTGGAACTACATTATATCTTGCCTTGTCATGTAGTACCAGGTAAAGTGATTAATCACTCACATTTTAACATTGTTCCAATGGGAGGGTAGTGTGGAACAAAAGGTTCAGGTACATTTGTATTTTATTTCATTAGTTATAAACTAAATAATTGAACTTGCAGTGTAAATATACTAATTTATGTCTATGGACTCTAATGGTGTGTGAATTTTTTTATTTTCATTATTTAAAAATCACTGAAATTCCCTATCAGTAATGTACTACTTTCCACGTTGACTATATTCTGTATATTTCACTAGTTTTAGTTTCTTGTATCATTCTCCTAAATATTTCTGTCTAAAGAAGTAAGACAGATTTGGCCAATAATTTCAAGGGCAACTGTTATCATCTTCCTTTAAAAATAGGAGTAACACTAACTTTAAAATTCTCAGGCACCTTTCCATTGTCTACTGACCTATAGTAGGCTATACAAAATGAAATACATTTGCATATTTGATCTTTCACCTCATTTAAAACGCTGGAAAAAGCCTTTCCTGATCAAGGTGCTTCATTTTCAATTTCTCCACTTACTACCAAGGGACTAATATCTACATGATTCAGGTCTAATTGAATTAGTAATAACTTAAGTGCGGTTTAAATCATATAGAAATTTAGCATTGAATTGAGAGTAATGATTCTTACAGTTTACCGAACTAGTTATGTTACACCTAAGTACTAGAACTGTAGTAATTATAATTAATTTGTCTCTTTTAAATTCATTTTAAAATTAAAATTCAACATTGTTACTGAAATTTAATTATTCTGTAATTAATGCGGTTAGGCCTGAACACTATTCATCTAATACCACTAACAGGCCTAATATCCTAAAAGTAAAAGCAACTGATATAATCAAAACTTCTGATGTTCGTTGGCACTTCGAAGTTAGATACCGATAGGCCTAACGTTCTAAACAGTACAGTTAACTGTGTTACTCTGTAGTGTAGGGAAAATAAAACGTATCTCGACCTCAACAACATAATAATTTTAAAATAAACAAAATGTTTATATAAAACATTTTAAATTTTAAGGATACTTGTTGAACTGCTCTTTGAGTAGCTGTATCTGGTGACTGTGATTCTTTCAACAATGTCAATATCTGTACAAGACCCTCTTCTTGTGGTTGCCATGCCAGAGCCATATTCTCACGCATTATTTGGGGATTCTTCTTTCTGGAACTGGAAGAGCGGTACAGTTCAGAGTACCGGTCCTTGCTTTCTAAAAAGTAAAAGTACGACTAAACAAATAAACCCAACTACCATTGCTTCTTTAATTATCTTCAGAGTAATTGAATACAGCAATATTTTAAAATAACATAAAATCAGTATTTATAAGTACCATTTGCGTTTATTATATTAAGCTAAAAAGGTAAGAATTACAAAACAAAACTTCGCTCACTATATTAACTTCTCACAGTGCAATCTCAATACGCCGAAAGAGCAAAATGGCGAATAACTTATAATTTTCAGTTTATCTGTATACCCTAACTGTATCCATAATATGGAATGAAAATTATAAAATTTGAATCTATGGAAATAAACAGTTTCATTTACTAAAATTTCAAATATTTTTTTTAATTTATTGAACTGATCCACAACGATTGTTATCTATACAGTGGAGGAGCTTTTTTGAAAACAATTCGAAACTTGTTTATTGTTAAATAATTTAAATTTTGAATTTTCCAGAATTTTCGGATAAAGTTCCATTGTAAGTTATCTTCTGTTGTTTTTTAATGGATAATATATTTAAACATTCCAGCAACTACACAAGTGCACGAGAAAATAAAAAAAGACAACTAAAGTTGCCAACAGAACGAGCTTATACAACGAAAAATAAAAAATGTATAAATAAACTTATCACGCAGTATAACGTTTCGTTTCGACAAGTTACTAATCAGGTACAAAGCACGAGTGAGTGTTGAAAAATTAAATCCTCTCGTTCATTTCACGAAATATTTTAAAGGAAAAGAACGGTTGCAAAATAAAAATCGAGGACGGCTAATTAAGAAATATATACATATATATATATACTCTATAAGCAAATACCCTAATTCTTCATTATATCTATTCCTCAATGGTATATCAGGTGTTTTATGGCTAGTTCACTTAATTTAATATACTGTTATATATGCAAATATTCTCTAACAGTCATTCGTACGCTGTTATGATGTGAACGCCTTTTACAAGCTATCAAAGCATTATTATAATTATACTTGTCATAATACATTAGTATTTGGCCTATTATATTTTTAAAAACTTCTTTATTTAATCTCTAAGGGATTTTCAAGAATTGGAAGAGTTTATAATAATAGTATTCCTAAAGAGCTCTTGATTGAACGAAACGTATTGTTGCGTCAGCGAGGTCACGTGACTAGTATCACGCCACCTCTTTCTAGAAATATCCT